TGAGATCTGGGTTTTAGAACTATTAGTGTGATTTGGACAATTTTGATTTTTTTGAAGAGAAATGACCATTAAGTATTTAATTTTAGTCCCAAATATGATTTCTCCAGGAACTCAAGATGGCGGCTTATACAGGGTGGTCCGAACTGTATTCCGGAAACTTTGGCAGCATATTCTATAGGTAAAAATAATTAAAAAAGTTCATATAAATGTACAGTCGACTCTCTATAATTTGACACTCGTTAATTTGAATATCTCGATATATTAAAGTCCTTTAAGAAAATCCTCCATAAATTGAAAAAAAATTAATATAATTTCCCCTTGATAATTTGAATGCATTCTTGCTCGCTGACATTCTATAATTTGAAGTGAGAGCTAGCTTCCTTACTCTCCATAATTTGAACTCGACATTTTATAATTTGAAGTAAAAAATCCCATATTTTGAAGTCCGTGATTATGTATTTGCCTATTTGCCATTTGTTCAGTCAATAATGTAGTCATTGCGTCGCGCGTCGATATTGTTGTTAATTTTTAACAAACTCTTGTTTATTTGAATTTATCCCTATTTGCTCTTGATTATTTAAACTTCTGTTATTTTGAATTTTCTTTATATTGAATTTTTTTCCTGGTCCCTTGGGTTTCAAATTATGGGGAGTCGACGTCGACTATATGTCCTAATATGCTTGGTTTCGGAGATACAGGGTGTAGAAGTTACTCGTTTATTTTAACACCCAGTATATTATTCCGATATTCAATCGGGAATTCATGTCTCTTCAAAATACTACTAAGGTTGCCTACCCATCCAAAAAGATTTTTCTAGGTATTTTCATTTTTGTGATTTAGTGGCAGTAGATTTTTATTACTTGATAAAGTCTAGGTGACTGTGATATGTCTGACGTTATTTCAACATAGCTGTCATATTAGTTCAACTTTAGCAACTAGTTATCATTTTGTCAGTTAAAACAAAAAAAATCTCAGAAATTTGCCGAAACTGGAAACTTATCCTACATTAGAGTGAATTGATTTGATTCTATTAGTTGGTGATTCAACTTTTCATTTTTTATTTTTACTTAATTATTTATAAATTTCGAATAGTTTTTTTAAGTTAACGCTTTAATTTTTAATTTTTAACAAACTCTTGTTTATTTGAATTTATCCCTATTTGCTCTTGATTATTTAAACTTCTGTTATTTTGAATTTTCTTTATATTGAATTTTTTTCCTGGTCCCAGGGGTTCAAATTATCGGGAGTCGACGTCGACTATATGTCCTAAAATGCTTGGTTTCGGAGATACAGGGTGTAGAAGCTTCATTTTTATTTCGATTTTTTGCAAATAATTTCCGAAGTAACGTCAATATTTGGATGAAAATTGGTGTCTGGGAGTTTTTTGACATGAAAATTTTGATTTTGATGTCAATAACTCCTACTTGTAGAGGGCGCCACCTACATATTTTTTTACTGGTTTAAAGAGTGATAACTTTTTGTCCGTACTTGTATAAAACTACTGATTAGAAAAATATACATTTAATAATCACATATATTGACTATTTCCATTCTAATTATCTTGAGAACGGTTGCTCCTAGCGATTTTTACCAATAGACATTTTTTATGTAAAAGCCACGGAAATAAATATTTTTTCATTCAGTAGTTTTATACAGGACGGACGAAAAAGTTATTACTCTTCAAAATAATTAAAACACATGTAGGTGGCGCCCCCTACAAATAGGAGTCATATGACATCAAAATCAAATTTCTCATGTCAAAAAACTCCAAGACACCAATTTTCATTCAAATATTAACGTTACGAAATTATTTGGAGAAAATCGAAATAAAAATGAAACTTCTACACCCTGTATCTCCGGAACTAAGCATTTTAGGACATACATTTATACGAACTTTTTTATACTTATTTTTATCTGCAGAATATACTACCGAAGTTTCCGGAATACAGTTCGGACAAACATCCATAACTAACAATTGTAAATAAACACAAAAAAATATAGTATCCACCTAACTTTAATTTATTATTAATTATTAAATTTTATAATATAGAATCCCCAATTAACTACAAAAGAATTACATAGAACAGAATATTAGTATTTATTATACGCCTAGGATCATAAATAAATCGGCTTAAATAAAACCAAATTAATGGTTGTGTTCAATTAGGAAAACTATAATTAAATAATCCTTTTATATATGAACATGAACGATTTCGTAGCCATACAAATAATTAATTATTTGCACTTTTAATATGAATTGTTATTTGCAGTAATAAATGTAATTTAAATGGCTTTAATGGAGAAATATTCATTTTCTACCTCGATTGTTTATTCGATTAATTATATTTAACTGAATCTGCTGCGCCCAGTAAAAAAACTAAATAAATATTTCATTACAAGTGAAATATTATACAGGGTCTCTGTTATGTATGGAAACGGTCGATTATTAGGTAAAATATACAAGGTACCGCAAAAAGTTAAACACAAAAATTATAAGGTTTTTAAATGTCTATTGGTTAGTAATAAATTTATGTATACAGAGTCGGTCATAAAGTCGTGGCACATCAAAGTTTCATTTTTTAAATAGAACCCCCTGTATATTATTGCACATTTCAATTCTTCCTTGAATTCTAAGCAAAAATTGAAATACACACAATATACCTCAAACCAACCGTTTCCGAGTTATTGACTTTTGAACATATCACTTAAACAATTTGATTTAATTAATTTCGATATGTTCAGTTTCATTTAATGATGCCATTCTGCCAAAACTGTGATACTCCTGTAATGGGCTTAGCTACTAGTAAATTTAAGTATACAGGGTCCGTCATAAAGTTGTGGCACATCAAACTTTTTTTTTAAATGAAACTGAAAAATAATTAAATGAAAATGTATAGTATTGCACATTTGAATTCTTCCTTCAATTCTAAGCAATAATCGTAATACACAATGTAAACTAGGAGGATAAATATTATTAAGTATCACCAGTTTCGGCAAAATAACATCGTTAATGAAACTGAACATATACTTACGCTACATCCATACCGAGGCATTCTATACATAAGATAAACTCTCCCTACATGGGACACTCGTCCAAAGGACATCCGTACATAGGAATCACTACCCGTACATAGGAACTACGCCCCTACATGGAACATCCGTCCATAGGACCCTAAAAACACGAAACTATCGTTTAAAACCAAACAAGGTCTAATAAACAAAATAAACCTACCTCGAAATACTTCCGAGGGCTCTATAATAAATAAAGGCAATTGTCCATTCCTCCATTCAACATTCTGGAGGACAAAATCAAAAGAACACCAACGTGCCAGCAAAATACAAATAAGAGTTAAGTTGGGCTAATCCAAAACTCTACCCTAAAAATACGCAGTAATAATATCGAATCTAAAAAGATAATATCTCATCTTTACCTGTAGCTTCGAAATAGCAGCTGATTCAGATTATGCAGCAAGATTTAAATAAATACCATTTCTAGAAACTGGGTTGCTGATGGCGACAGCCGCCAAACCAAAAGTGAGGTTATATCGCGGAGAGCGAAACCTTGAAAATAAATGTCTACAAAAGCAGTGAAACGATAACAGGGTCAATCAAATAAATTATCAGGCCTGAACGATACGGAATCCGGTAACGCTACGCCAGACATCATATATCATATATAAAAGATATGTAACAAACTAAAAACGTTACACTGTCTAATGAGTCATAACCAAAGATATTTAAACTCGGGAGATACAACGATCCATTCATAAAACGCTCTAAACCTTCATCACACATTGGTTTGCGAAAATCAACGAGTGAGAGAAAGAATGGACAAAGAAGGGAATAGGGTATCGGCGCAACGGCAACAATGTAGTTGTTTACAAAGATTAGACGGTTGAGGTCAATTTCCAGTGGGGTGCCGATCAACCGACAGTATTTTGAGGAAATTAAAATAATTGTTTAATAAATTTAAAAAAATAATAATAACACTTACATATTTGTCGCATTGTAAAAAATTGAGGGAGGATATTAATAGGAAAAAAATAAGTTGAGGGAGGATAGCGAAATAAGTAAAAACCGGCATAATTTTTTATTATTAGATGGCTTTTCACATAAGAATAACGTTTAAAAAAATCAATAAGCGTTTTTTACTTTATTTTATTAAATAAAATATCAAATTTTGGGTGTATTAGTAAATGCAGTTTCAATATCTTGTTCCAAACCTTGTTCATCTCCGGTAAATGAGACTCCCTCTATTAGCAATAACAAAATAAAATAGTTATTTTAACCTAGTAACACAATATTTTACCAAAAACTAATATTTGCAGACTTCACATATTTCTGATAAAAACTTGTACGATCAAACGAACTTACCTGAAGTGAAGTTCGATCGTAATTATATGAAGCGTCCAGTCCGAATGTATTATCTTGATTTTACAATACGTAGTCCGTCTCTGCATGCATGCACTATTTCAAGGCTAAAGTCAAAATTCCCTCCCTGTCGCTGGCCCACGCCGCGTCCCGCGTCGCTCTCGTCGGCTCTGCGCACGTAATTCATTCTTTAAAGTTTTATTCATTAATTCAAGCGACCATGGGGTAAGACGGGAAGGGAGGGAAGATAATACATTCGGACTGGACGCTTCATATAATTACGATCGAACTTTACTTCAGGTAAGTTCGTTTGATCGTACAATTATATTCGCGTCCAGTCCGAATGTATTATCTTGATTTTACAATACGTAGATGTTTAAAGATCTGTTGGTTGCGAATTAATGAATTGGTGCGGAAAGTTTTTTTTTGAGTGGTATATGAAAGGCAGCTAAATATCTTAAATATCAAAAATGTTTATTGAATGCAACCAAAATGAACAAATTGACATATAACGATAGTTATATCAACAAATAATGAACAAGTAAAGAATATATAAAGAACATATTTAACGTAAATTAAACTAGGCCTTACGGCAAAACATTGTTAAACATTGAACATATAAATGTAAATTAAGCTTTGTCAGAATTACTTAAAATAGCTTTGGCGTATGCAGTTCTGTCAGAGAGAGGTCTATTGTAAAACTTGGCAAATACAGATGACCCTTCGGACCATCCTACTGTCCTGCGTATTGTTTCAATTGAAATTCCCTGTCTCAATGCGGCAGAACTAGAAGAATGTCTTGTCGAGTGAGGTTTAAATTGAGAAATATCTATCCCTGCTAGTTCTAACATTTTCTTAACCCATTTGCTTAGCGTTTGTTTCGAAGCAACTGAATGAGGTCTTTTAATTGTTAAGAATACAAAATCATGCTCCTTTTTTCTAAACACTTTTGTTGCATCGATGTATTTTTTCAACGTCAAGGCAGGACAAAGTTTAGGCCTCTCTTTGAAAAAGGGAAGATATAGTGTTGGCTGAACCCGATTTAAACCTGAAGTTTTTATTGGATCGGTTATATTAATTTGAATTTCCTGTTCATTTTCCAGTATATTGGTTAGCCTGATCAAAGACAGCGTCTGAAGCCTCTCTCCTGTAACTAAAGTCAAGAGTGTTATTAATTTATGGGATAATAAGTTAAGGTCCAAATCTTCAGGCAATTGTTCTATGTAAGAAAGTAGAACTTCGGAATCCCACGTACTGCCGTATTTTGGTTGGGCCGGTCTCAGACGCGCCATTCCTTTCATGAATCTTTTTATAAGAGGGTCTGACCCGATATCGTTAATTAAAATAAGGTTTAAAGCTGAACTGTTGGAGTTTATAGCACCGTACTTATAATTATATTTCTCAGATGTATATTGTAAGAAGGTCAGGATGTCTCTATTTGCCGGTCCAAATACAGAGATATTCTTCTCCAGGCAAAAGTTCCACCAGAGGCTTGTTGTGGTGTATTGCTTCATAGTGGATTCGGAAATTGAAGATATTAGCGTATCTACAGCTATTTCTGGGACGTCTCTCTCTAAAAGCGATTCCCTGATAATCTGGCGACCACCAGGGAAAGCTGACGAGCCAGAGGGTGGATAGTTCTAAAAGGAGAAGAAAGTAAATTAGAATGTGGATTTAAAACTAATTCACTTCCTACTTTCAACCTAGAAAACAGTGGATACCATAATTGAGACTTCCATAACGGAACAACCACGATACCTTCAGCCTTATCTTGGATTATCTTTTGAAGGGTTCTTAAAATTAAATTGAACGGTGGAAAAGCATAAAAAGAAAGTCCCTTCCAATTCACTGTGAACGCGTCAACAGCATATGACCCCGGATCTTTATGCCAAGAAACGTATTTATCGCATTTCTTGTTTATGTGCGAAGCAAACAGATCAACCTTAGGTTTCCCATATTTGTTAACTATCAACTTGAATGCATCTTGTGATAAGGACCATTCCGTTTCGGGGGAAATTTGTCTTGACTCCTTATCTGCAATGAAGTTGTTAGCTGAACTTATATATGTAGCAAGAATCCATAGGTTTTTATTCTCACACCACTTCCATATGTCCCGCGTTAATTTAGCAAGTTCTAGATGTTGGATACTACCCATTCGATTTATGTACGATATGGCAGTGGTATTATCGCATCGTAACAGAATATTAACATTAGTTAAGTTATTCGCAAAACATCTGAGACCGTAAAAAATGGCTCTTAATTCTAAAATATTTATATGCAATTTTTTATCAAGTTCTGACCAGAATCCGTGGGTCTTTTCTAAGTCGCAACATGCTCCCCAGCCTGTCAGAGAAGCATCAGTGAAAATTTCTTTGGCAAATACATCCGTTCTTATGTCGTTAACTGACTTCAAAATATTCTGTTCCCACCAAAGCAGATCTTCGTGTAAGTAATGGGGAACAACCATTATTTCATCAAAATTTCCACTATTTTGTATCAAGGCCATAAATTTTTCACGTTCTAGAGCTTTAATATATAACCAACCATATTTTACAGCCGGACAGGCTGATACTAAAGTACCAATGAAACTTGCAAATTCCCTAATTTTACAGAAATGTTTTTGTCTAAAATGATTAGCTTGTTTTAATATATTCACCTTTTTTTTCCGTAGGCAGCATCATCTGTATAACAGTTGAATCAAATATAAATCCCAAAAAGGTTTGGCGGTTACTGGGGATGAAACAACTTTTTTCTCTATTTATTATAAACCCAAGCGATTCTAACAGATTAACCACAAATCTTGTATTTCTTAGACACTGTTCGTATGATTCTCCAAGAATAAGAAAATCGTCTAAATAATTGACACAAAGTATGTTGTTTTGTCGTAAGATGCAAAGTACTGGCTTAAGCAGCTTCGTGAAACAATACGGTGCTGCTGATAGTCCAAAAGGGACACATGTAAACTCATACAATTGATTTTTCCATGCAAAACGTAAGTATTTACGATGTTCTGAATGCATAGGAATCGAATAATAAGCATCTTTTAGATCAACAGTTGTCATGAATAAATTCTTCCTTAACAACCGTTGAGCTGTCCTATAATCTTCCATTTTAAAATGAGGCGCCGTTACATATCGATTAAGCCTTTTAAGATTGAGAATAAACCTATACTTTCCATTAGATTTTTTAGTTAAAAATATGGGAGAAACAAAATGATTCGGCAAAGGATCACATTTTGTTATAGCCCCTAACGTTTCAAGTTCTTGGATCGCCAAGGTCATTGGTCCGTCTTCGTAATTATGAACCTGTAGATTTGTTGACGCATTAGAATGAGGAGGTTTTTTACAAAACGGAATTTTGTACCCTTCGATCCAAGACAAGACTGATACGTTACATGTCACTGATTTCCAAGCATTCCTAAAATATTTTAGCCGACCGGCTAAGACATTGCTTACCTGTACTGGTTTCTGAAGTTGGACGTCCGTTTCTGTGGATCTGAGGGTCGCCCTTTCGGTGGTCTTCCGTCCCTCCTCCGGTAGGCCGGGCGTCGCCTGTTTAACTGACCTCTAATGGTGGTGTGTGATCTCTCCCCCCCTTCTTTCCTTTTTTGAAGAGGAGAAATGTTTGAGAGAGAACGATATTTATGGTACTGAGAAACCCTAATATCTTTCACAACTTTTTCCATACTTTTTGCTGTCTGGATCTTCTCTCCTAGATTAGGCCCAAAGAGGAATTCGCCAGGGGGACACTTTTCTACTATACCTTTTATCTGTTTATTCATTAAAGGCGAAATTAGTTGACGTCGTTTTTGTGACATCTCATTGACCACCTTACAAATCATTCGTCCAGAATCAGCAACACTAGTCAAAAGCCTGTCCCTGATAGCCTTTGGAATATCTCTCTCTCGCTCTAAAATAGTGTTTAAAGAGGGGCCTAAGGCTACCAAAACTTTACCTAACTGTATTTGGTAGTTTAAATGAGCTTGGTCTCTAGCTGTTTGTAAGTTACTCATACTGGCTTCCAGTTTTGACTTTAGCCTTGAAATAGTGCATGCACGCAGAGACGGACTACGTATTGTAAAATCAAGATAATACATTCGGACTGGACGCGAATATAATTTATTATTATATGTATATTTATTATATACCTATATGAATTTTACAACTACTAAAATGTGTGTCTAAAGGGATCGCACCGCGATTAAAAAACCGATACAATGACACAAACAGAATTAAAAAAAAATAAAATTAGATAAAAAAAGTGAAAATATAATTTTATCAGGGATGAGCGGTGATAAGCAAAGAGGCATAACGAAACAGTATAACCGGAACAGCAACCAATGACGGGCATATCAGAAGAACAAGAGCCTCACAAATCAGTCGAAGAAATTATAATTTTTTAAATGATTTACTGTTATGAATTTAGTAAATGATTTTTAATTTGTTTTTTATAATCTGTAAAGGATTAAAATTTAAAGTTATTAGAAATATTATTCCACAAATGTGGCGCTATGAAACTGAAATATTTTTGGAAGTTAGCTGTTCGGTGTTGAAGAATTTTAAAATAATGCACTTGCCTAGTCGAATGATCATGGTCAACGTAGTGAAACAATGAGAACAAATAGGGAGTCTGCTCTGTAGTTAAAATTCGATAAATGAATGTCATTAAATGAAATTATTACAAATCTAAACAAAATTATTTGATATTATAATACAGTCATCAGAAAAGTCTAGCGATAATTTTAGAAAATCATAAATAAAATAAAATGGCGATTGTTTATTAGTAAACGGTTCTTCCCTTAGTCTTAAAAAATATTTAGTTTTTTTTCTCTGGTTTGCAAAGGAAAATTCATATTGTTTATAAATAATAAAAAGTGCATGTGCAAAGAATTTCAATACAATAAAAGGTAAAAATACAACAAAATGTAGTAGTCATAAAATTCATGTAATAAGTACATTAATTATATGTATATCAAAAGATGTCCATTTACATTATAGCAACCAAAATTTAAAACAAAAGCCGTATTAAATTGTAGCGGCAACAAAAAAGTAAGGCCGCAAAATTCCATTTGTGGTACACCCCAATAAAATTTTCACAAAAGGTAGGTAATGATTTGTCAAACCCAAGTGGGTACCTAGATTATACTTATTCAATACCCTTTCTTAAAAGGGAAACAGAAATTGTTATTAAGTTATTAGTAATTAGTACGTACCATGTATCTTTTATCTACTAATAATTTAATTAATAAATATATAATTTAAAAAACATAATAAATTAATAAATATACAATTTAAAAAATAAACCTAAAAATAAATATAATTTAGAAATCTGCTATCTGCTGTCTAGGTGCACAGTAGGGGTAGAAGGGGGTTTCTGCGCCAGGAGCAGGAGCAGAGCGCACTGCGCATGCGCGTAAATCAGCTAGGAACATGTAAAATACGCTAATAAACAAGAATAAACAGGTTTGAACCGCTTTGAACAGCTTTGAACCGCTTTTTAGCTTAAAACAACAGACCTGTTCATTTTTTGTTCATACCTGTTTATTTCTGTTTTAAAGCTGTTCAAAGCGGTTCAAACCTGTTTATTCTTGTTTATTAGCGTATTTTACATGTTCCTAGCTGATTTACGCGCATGCGCAGTGCGTTTTGTTCCTGCTCCTGGCGCAGAAACCCCCTTCTACCCCTACTGTGCACCTCTGATCTACAGAGAAGAGGATATAATAATATACCTAACCCTACTTATATTTATTTACCAGTGAAAAGTTAAATTTGGATTTAAATGATACACTCTCTTGTACACAATACATGAATGCACCATATTTTCAAATTAATGTCCACAGAAGTCCACAAAATAACGCAAAAATACTATAATACTGCAAATAAAGAATACAGAGCTTGATCGGCGGCATAGCAACATCGCAACAGGAGAATCTAGGAATTTTCATTCATCCTCGAAATACGTTATACTACGCCGGCATATTTCTAAAACTGACGTTGCCAAACTGCTTTTTATTATTAAAAGAAACACGTTCATGATATTTTTATTCCATTATAAAATTTAAAATAGTTAAGCAGTTAAGCATTAAATGAAAAAATTGACGATAGCAAATTAATGTACTATAGAAATATAACGAAATTATTTATTACTTAATAATTGGTTGTGGTATTTAATCGAATACTAATACCAATATACAAGTAAATCTGGCAAATGTTTTCGGTGTAAGAGAGAAAGTAAGGATAGAATAATGGCCGATGAAGGAAAAAGGTAAACAATTGTATCTCTTGAGTTAAATATCTTTGGTCATAACTCATAACTAAGAAAGGGGGACACAACAGATCTTTAAGGTGGCGGTGATTAACACCCCTCTCACTCTTTCTACATTCTACATGGAGATATTTTTATATTTCTTAGAAATTTAATAAAATGCATCCTACAGTTTTACGATCAAAACCTACTCGATTTTCAATAATTTAATATTCCTGAACTAAACTCGGTGTATACCGCTGCGGTATTTAATACTATTTAAATATAAATAAATATTAAACGCCTAATTAACTAAGGTCAATTATCCGCTTATCTAATTTTCTCGTTTTAAATCGTTTTTCCACCCGTCCCTCATTAATCTTTATTAATCTCGTTTATAAGTAGTTAATTGATCTGTATGCAAATGGCGTGTATTTTGTCTTGTTCGTTTATTGCATAAATACGCGTATCTCTTTTCTGTACACATATCATAATTAATTGAGAACCTGCTGCATAATTTTGACAATTGATCCTGATCTAATTAATTGGCTTGATTGGAATAATATGCGGGAGTTTAATAGAGTAAGATAATGAGGTATATTTATATCTATTGCCAAAGGACCTGATCAATATACAGTAGTATGTCCCTGGATTGTTTTTCTAATTCTAAGAGAAAAAACTTTTTTATTACTAATTTTTTATTACAGTTGAGGGTTGGAACCTTTGGTGTTACACAGCAAAATAAAACACTAAACTATGGGAGTTTATAATCATCTGCTGATGATGCTAACATGGTTAGCGAAACGCGCGTCCAGTGTAAAAGTAAAAGTGTTTTGGTGTATTGTGGTGATTTAGTGTTTTATTTTACAAATTTTTTAAAAAAAGTGCATACTTAAAAAGGGTTTTTGCCTGTTCTAAAATGGTTAATTCCCTTTACACACTCTACCACACTGTAAGAAATTTGTTGGGTCCTCCGAACTTTTTCATAATTACCCAAAGTGCATCTCTGTTCACAGAGTCGAAGGCTTTTGTTAGGTCGATGAATGCAACATAAAGTTTAGACTGCTGCTTTTTTACTTTTTCCTGTAGTTGGCGGATGGAGAATATTGAATCGACGTTGCAGCGGTTGGTGCGAAAACCCGTTTGCGATTCTGGGAGGATTTTTTCTATATGTGGGTGCAGGCGGTTTGACATAATTTTTGCAAGAATTTTTCCTCCGATAACCAGTAGTGAAATTCCCCGGTAGTTTCCGCAGTCTGATGCACTTCCTTTGTTCTTAAATATATTCACTATATTCGCGTTGCAAAAGTCCTGTTCTGTTATTGGGCATGTCTAATACATCGAGGCTGTTAGCTGTTATACTGAGGTATTGTGAATGAGAGAACAGAATGAGTGGGAAGAAGCAGTTCACAATAGAACGCAATTGAGAAGAATTGTAAACTCAGTTAACAGCGACAACCAAAAAGTAAAGAGGCAACAAAGCAATGAGATTTTTGAATGTCCGGAGTGCGGCAGACAGATAACATCACGTATAGGGCTTTTCAGTCACAGAAAAGCTCATGAAAGAAAATGCCGCTTGACCATCTTCTGATGCGCGTCAAATAATCGTCAGCGAGTCAGCGCGTCAAATAAACGTCAGCGTCATAGCAGTATGTAGTATGTATGCAATTCCAATATACCTTCTAAATAATACTTCCTTACTATTTAACTTATTTACTATTACTTCCTTACTATTTTGTGCTCCTTACCATTTTAAAACAGCAAAAAAATATGGCATTAATAATAATTGCAAAACGTCTAACGAAGGGTATGGAACTCAAAACCACATCTTTTCAAATGTTTATTTCAAAAAACAATTTTCTTTAAAAATGGGGCAACTTGTTTCAGGAATCAGTTACTTCCCATCGTCAGGCCCAAAGATGGAACTTGTGTAAATTTACCATAATATATTTAGTAAAAAATAACGCCACTTGGTACGTAATTCTACTCGAAATCGCACATTGACATCCACATACCTCAAAAATGAGTTACTAAATGTAAGACAAGTTAATGTTAGTTCGAGAACGGTTAGAAGAAGATTAACGGAAGTGGGTTTAAAGCCAAGACGACCTGCCAAAGTTCCACGTCTTCGCCAAAATCACAAAACTTGTAGATTGCAATTTGCCAGAACCCATATTCAGTGAAATATCGAGGACTGGAAAAAAGTTCTATTCACTGATGAAGAGTAGAATACAATTATGGAAGCCAGATGGGCGAAATCATAGAAGAGTCGGGGAACGATACAGAAGCTGCAACTTTATACAGACTGTTAGTTTTGGAGGTGGCGGTATAATGGTTTGGGGAGGCATTCATTGGGACCGAACTCATAAAAATTATAGGACGAATGACAAGTAACTGGTATATTGAAAATATCCTCCAAGATCATGTTTTGCAATAATGTAGGCCTCATTGGATACGACAGATTCCTATTTATGCACGATAATGCTCGACCACATGCAGCTAGCATAATGACTAATTATCTTGATGTAGTCCAGATTCAAAGATTAGATTGGCCACCATATAGCCCAGACTTAAATCCCATTAAGCATTTGTAGGATGAGCTAAAACGTCATACGACGAAGGAATCCTGTTCCAAATACACTAAAAGAGCTTCGATATGCGATACAACACGAGTAGAATGCAATTCCTCAAGAATATATTCAAACTTTAATTAGTAGCATGCCGAGAAGGATGCAAGCAGTAATTAAAGCTCGAGGTGATTAACTATTCCCTATTTTTCCATTCAAAAGATTTTACTTACTTCTGAAGCATTTAAGTTGAAACTAAGTATCCTTCATTTTCATAAATTTAACATTATTTTTTTACGATTTTCAATAATAATTTAATATTTCTTATTTAAAATGTGTAAAATACATTGATCTTTCTTATTTGTTGCATATTATTCATTAAAATTTATATACATGAAAAAATTTTTGAAAATTTAAAATACTCGATAATTTTGTCCATGAATGTATTAACATACATGCCACAAATTAGCCATACAGCGATTTTATACAATGAGTTGTAAACCTAAAGAACGGATGGTAAATTTACTAAATAATCTTGTTATGAAATTCACAAATTATTTTTTTAGTGTGTCATATTTCTAACAATAATAATATATTTCTTTAATGTATTAATGTATTATCGACGAAAAATAGCGCCATTACAGTATTTTTCCATATCCGTTATTTACACAAACCCCCTACCGCAAAATCACATAACTCATCGAACCCCCGACGTTCAACCGGGAAGACTTTAACCCTTTTCATCCCGTTGGCTCGTCTCGAAAATATCTCGGAGGATGCGTATTTATTAATCGAATAGACGTCGACGGCCCATAGATTAGGCCCGAACGATAGGTTTAGTGTCTCGAGATCCGATGAGTGACAAATTCAATTAGAGGCTCTGCCTCTTATTGAGTTTGTTATGTTTAATAAAGGCGCGCTGTGTGTGCGCTTCACGTCTAAATTGGCCCGAATTGAATTAAACGCCAGTTAGGAACATGGCTTGTACCGGCTGTATATGTGGTGCTTGGTTTGGAGAGGATTGGTAAACATCAGGTGTAGAAGGAGCACAGAACTTTATTTTAACGTGTGTTGTCTACATTATATTAACTAAACGATGTCATATGGGAAAGCGGAGAGGTACCTCAGGACTTTCGCAACGCGAATATAGTGGTTATATTTAAGAGCAAACAGTGCATTAGATTACGGAAACTACCGGGGAATTTCACTACTGGCTATCGGAGGAAAAGTTCTTACAAAAATTATGTAAACCGCCTACACCCACATATAGAAAAAATCCTCCCAGAATCGCAAACGGGCTTTCGCCCAAACCGCGGTACCGTTGAGTCCGCCAACTACAGGAAAAAGTAAAGGAGCAGCAAAGTAAACTCTATGTTGCATTCATCGACCTAACAAAAGCCTTCGACTGTGTAAACAGAGATGCATTTTGGGCAATTATGCAAAAGTTCGAAGGACTCAACAAATTTCTTACAGTGTGTAAAAGCCCCCATAGTAACAACAAGTCTAGAGTATCACCATCGTGGATCACTGAGCGATCCCTTTCTGACAAATACATGAGTTAGGCAGGGATGTGTCTTAGCGCCTCTTCTATTCAACATATTTATGGCAGCACTCTCTATTATAGTGAACAGTAAACTGCAGGAAAGAGGAATGAGCAGATACGATGGCGGCCTATTCAACATAAAAAGACTCACTCATGTGCACTCCCCCGGAAAATCATAACGGTGCTACAAAAATCGGAGAAAAACTATTAGAATATGTAGCGGAATTCATTTACCTCAGCAGTTTGATTTCGGAAAAGGCCAATATCGACTCTGGAATTCAGCACAGAATTAGCAGCGCCTCAAGAGCATTCTGGAAATTAAAAGACAGGGTTTCTGCAATCATAACTTGAGCACAAAAACGAAATATAACTTGCAGTGTACTGAGCATAATAATCCCCTCCCATGTTATATGGAAGTGAAACTTGGGTGCCTTACCGCAACAACTGGTACAGGAACGCATTAAACAAGTTGCAACAGAGATACCTTAGACAACTGTTAAGAATCAAATAATACCACCATGTCTCAAACGTATCAGTCCTTGAAAAAGCTAGCTGCGAGAGTGCTGAAGTCATAATTACTAATTCCCGCTTAAGATGGGCCGACCACGTATGCAGCAGGATGCAAGAAAACCGCCTACCGAAATCTCTTCTTTACGGTGAGCTTGTAGAGGGTAAGAGGAAACCGGGTGGACAACTCAAAATATACAAGGATATTTTCCATGAAAACTTAAGGGGATAAGCATGCAGAATCAGTGCAATTCAGTGAATCACAATAGAACGCAATGGAGAACAATTGTAAACTCAGTTAACAACGACAACCAAAAAGTAAAGAGGCAACAAAGTAATGAGATTTTTGAATATCTGGAGTGGCTTTTCAGTTACAGAAAAGCTCATGAAAGAAAACGCCTGGCGTAACCACCTTCTGATGCGTGTCAAATACTCGTCAGCGAGTAACGGTAGTAAGTAAGTAAGTATGTGTCCGAACTATCAAAGTTCTACTGTTTTTAATTTTTGATTTGTTTTGACACTAGTGATAACAGGCGATAAATATTCGAATTTCTTAAAATAACTGCCAACCAAACCAAAAGCAAAATCAGAATAGCGGACTATTTCAATTATTATTGATCGCACCCTATAAAACATATTTTTTGTGGTTTTGTTTCAACTCGTATCTGAAATCCATCGTCTAGCACTATGTCTGCTAAGCATGAAACCCATTTTGTCTGTCAATGCAGAAACGGTGGAAGATTCATTCCTTCGGTGCACACTAGGTCACAAAGTCCTGATGGAATTGAGGAAACGGAACAGAATCACGCCGCGGAAGACTTGAAAGAGGGAAAAAAGATAAAAGAAATAAAAAAGGAAGCGAGGTGGCATTTTCAGGCGGACAAAAAATAAATTGCTCGCTTCCCATACTTTTCCCATATCGCCGAGACTGAAAAGATAAATATATAAGGCAGCAGTATATGCTTTGAAAGGAATACGTGGTGGTTTTTTATATTAAAAACAATAAATTTGCTTTTTATTTTGAATATATACAGATATGAAATAATACGGTTTTTCTCACTTGGTAAAATGCAGATCTTAAGTTTAGTGGCTTTTATAGTAGCTCATTTCTCTTTGTTTGACATTTGATATCGTAAATAGTAACCACTAGAGCTTGAACAAATTAGGCAAAAAAATAAAGTCTTCCTACTCTGGTTGCCAGCCTAAAAGGTAATGAAAAAGCAAACGATCTAGCTAGAGAAGGAGCGAATACTCTGCTTTCTCTGGAGAATACACTGAAAACACGGAAGCGAAAATGTAGTTATATGGAATTACCAGTAGATGATGATACTACAGTGTACACCTTGTCATTCGCAGATGACCAGGCTGTTGTCGCACAAGATATAGACGACTTGGAATACATTACCCGAAAACTGTATCGAGGAGTATGATAAATTGGGACTAGAACTGAATATTAAAAAAACGAAATACATGTGCATTGGTGGACACGACAATATATATACACAGCTACAAATATCTCGGAATGAAAATATCCAAAGACGGAACACTGGATGAAGCAATATTGGAAAGAAATATGCAAGGCAGAAAAACAGTTTCGATGCTAATTGGAATGCTATGGGATAAGAGTATAACTATAGAAAACAAAAAGGAATTTACAATTCTATCGTAAAAAGTATAATTACCTACAGCTCTGAAGTATTGCCCTTAAAAGAGAAAGCTGAAGGAAAGCTAAAAGCGACAGAGATGGACTTTTGGAGAAGATCGGCTGGAAAATCCAGAAAAGATAAAATACCAAATGAAACCATAAGACGCCAAATGGGACTAAAACACGACATCGTAGATCCCCTAGTTATTTCGTAAGAACCTAGTGATTTTCCCACTGCGGATACCTAGTGATTTCCCCACTGCGGAGGCCTAGTGATTTTTCCACTGCAGGGGTCTAGTGATTTTCCCACTGCAGGGACCTAGTGGTTTACCCTTAGCGGGGATCTGGAGATATTTCCTACTGCGAAGACCTAGTGATTTTCCCACTGCGGGGTCTAAAGCTGGCTCTTAAATAAAAAAGTTATAGGGGTACTTTTTTATTTTTTTAGATAAAAAAACGAGATTTGGTATAATAATATGACATTTTCCATCGAATAAAGTAGAAAAATACCGAGGGTGCCATTTAAAAATCAAAAGTTGTAGTAATTTCCGGTGAAACAGAAAGTGACCAAAAACAATTGAATACGTCAGTCAATCCTAATTTATGTCGTATGCTAACATACCAAATCTCGTTTTTTATCTGAAAAAATAAAAAAGTTAGGTTAGGTTAGGTTATAAGGGTAACACTTTTGAGACGCACCCGGTATATCCAGAAAATCGACAATCGAAATATTTAAAAGAAAACCAGTTAAAAGCATAATAAAGCAGTTCTACTCGCAATGTGAAGTTCTTCGCGAATTTCTTTTTGAAGTCGGTTGGCTTTACACTGGCCAGTTCGCGAATTTACATTTTTCGACATTCTGTGAATTATGGTCACTTTAGACAAGAGATAACATTAAAATTCAAATATATGAGCTTTTTGAATATGTAATTGCCATAATTATTTTTCTCTGGTCTTCTCCGAAAACAACCACCCAGGTAACGAGCATTTATTCGGAATTTTGCCTAAAAGGTTTTGACGAACATACGTATGCGTTTGTAAGCATCACAAAGGGTTTCGCTAAGTTGTTTGTATCTATTCCGAAATTATTATCCCTTTGATATGGATCAGCGTCCGTGTTTTAGGCGTGCTTAGCGCCGAAAACGGAAAGAACAAAAATATGGAAATTCGTACGAAATGTAAATTGTTCTGTAGTAAATACACGGGATACAGTTAATTGTACTTATATGACATGTTGACAAAAACTGTAACTTATTTACTAACTCTCCAAAAAATCCTATATGGTTATTTCTGCCACTGCAAGAAAATCTACAAAATAAAATAGTTTTAATTTTTTGTAAACACGTCTACGTTAATCCCAAAAGGAAACTACTTGTCAGAAGTTAGTTTACAGATACAAATTTGCCTAACGAACAAAAAAAATTGTTTTAAAAAAACTAAAGTGTTCTCGAATAGTTGAGTTTAAATATTTTAAATAGTTTTTTTCTTTATTCTTTGATTTTTTTTGCACCGACGACGGAAAGAGATAAACTTTTCGAAACGTTAAGCATTTTTTTGTAAACCTAACTTTTGACAAGTAGTTTCCGTTTGAGATTAACGCCAGAAGTGTTTACAAAAAATAACTATTTTATTTTGTAGATTTTCTTGCAGTGGCGAAATACCCATATATAATTTCTTGGAGAGATGAATCTGCCACATAGGTATAGACATTTTTATTTACTAACGATGAACACAAAAATGAAATATCACATGTAAATGTAGATTGTATTGGAAGAGGGAAATTATCACCGCGACCTTCTAGATCTATTGTGTCCCTCTTTCTTGAGTTAAGTTAAGTTAAGTTATCAGTATACAGGGTGTTTCAAAAAACATGTGCCATCTCTCGTGGGGAGATTCCTTACGTAAAAATAGGATTTATTTTTCATATCAACATAGGTCCGATTCTGTTTCGTAGCTACAGAGTGTTAAAGTCTTAATATGTTTTCGATTTATTTTAATTTTCTTCCAAGTACTTTTAGCGTTTCGAATGAAGTTTTGAGGGTGAAAGTTACTATAGATGCGACATATTTTAAAGCTAAAAAAGTGTCGAAGTATTCACCAAAGACGTGCAAATGGGTTATCACTGGAATATTTTTCTAAAAAAGCATGTGCAGCTTTAACTGTTAGTGAAATAGTGTAAGCAGTTTAATGCCTATTAAAAGTTGTCTCTTGATATTTTGCCCATTTCGGCCTCCTTGATGAGATAAACGAAATTTTATTAATTTGTCCTCTAAAAAAAAATCCAAACCTCTAAAAAATGTAATATCATTAATTTGCGAAAATTTTAAATAAGTACTCATTGATTCCTCATCAAAAAATATGAAAAAAATTCCATACCCATATTCATAGGGACCATTAGTTACAGGATGTTAAAACTTTTTAAAATTAGTTTTTTTGTAATTAACTTAAATACCATTATTTTTTTACTTGAAATTGCTGTAGATTGTACTAATAGTAATAATAACTAATATTAATAATATTTAATAATAAATTAGGTAAAATATATAATTTATAAATTTTATTTATATTTTAATTTTATTAAGCTGATTTTTGGCAAACGGATTGACTGTGGGATGTAGAGGTTTGATAAGGAGGGGTTTCTCGAATCTCAAATTCCAAGAGGGTGAAAATGCCCCTCAAATATTACAATATTTGTTATTTAAAAAACGGTTAGTCTTTCGGGAAAACGCTTAAATATGCATAATTTATTTTGTTTTTTTACATATTTTGAAATTCTTTAAAAATCATACAGGGTGTTCCAAAAAGTTGGGTAATTAATTAACCACGATTCTGCTTAAACTGCTTGACGTAAAAAGCTTATTTTTGGCAAACGGATTTTTCGAAAGTCAAATTCCAACGAGATGAACTACCCCTCAAATATTACCAAGTTATATAATAATATCGCCATATTATTTTTTCTCATGCTGACATAAATGTGAGAAAATTTTATGCAGTTTGTATGATAATGGAAATTCTTGCTTTGCTTCATCATCACCATTACAAATGATTAATTCGACGCGAACGAAGTCGCGGGTACACGCTAGTGAAATTATATATTTCAATTTAAACTATTTTCACCTTACGTGAATAAAAATACAGATAGGGGAGAGGGGGGCAAGAGTGAACACTTAAGCTTTGATTGTTTTTAAAGTTTAATACAAGACGTTAAAATAAACTTGCATATTGGAGAACAATCTTTGGTAATACAAACTAGAAAAGTATGTATAAAAAACTTCATCAAAACATGAAATAACAAAAATACAAACATTTTTTAAAACATTGTAACTGTACACTCTTGCCCCAGTGGTATGGGGCAAGAGTAGAGGATAAAAAAATCCTAAGAAGGACGACAAAAGTCACAGTAAAACCTCTCAGTTCAACCTCTGTGCAGTCCTCGTGTGACCATAAGCCACATGTAGCACATCTTATCCAATCTTCGGCAGAGTCGCTGAATTTACCTCCGCAATAAATGCATTCACAATTATCGTCCTCTTTATTTAGTTTTTGTTTCTTGACAACTTTCTTCTTTGTTTTTATTCCCGATACACCTGGCTCTTCGTCATATATGTTCCTTTTTACCCTCAGTACTTTTTTAGAATCTACAATTTTATTTTCTTTTTCTTCTAAAGACTCTTTATACGGTGCTGTTGTTATAACTTCTGACTTTTGCTGAACTCGGTTGATCGTTTTTTTTAGAAGCTTTTTGTTTAGATTTTGGAAGTGGTAGCAATTCTGACACAGACACATTAGGACTTTCTAATCTCTTTATATCACCTTCTATGTCACTGTCTACGCTTTTCTTGTCTTTTGCTTCTTCGTTATTCATATTTTTATCACCTAATACTTCCTTCAAACCAGCGTTAACTGCATCTGCTGCGGCGTAGTCGTCATCAGAAAAAACATTTGGATTGTATGGAAAAATACCTGACGTTTTGAAGCCGCTGCAAATATTATTAGGAGTAGCTGCTCTCATGAATGCATTGCCTATTAAAGGACCCATGTCATATTCTGTGATTCGTTCTCCTGGATGGTTGGTCATCCAAATATCCATTTCCGAATTTAAATAAGATTTAAAAGGACCAAACACCGTGAGATCAAGGGGCTGAAGGCGATAAGTGCAATGTGGTTGTAATGTTATTACAACAATGCCATGCTCTCGACACAAATTTACTGCCTTTAAAGATTTATGGCTGCTGTGTTCATCAACGATAAGTAGCGTTGGGTTATCCTTACTAGCTCGAACTGATTTAATAAAATGCTCGACCACCTTAAAGTAGATATCCGTATCTATCCAACCGGTGGGGCTAGGAATTCCTATGGTTCCTGGAATAGCCCCGGTTAATAAATTGGGGTTCAGTCTTACACGTTTGTAAATCAATACTGGAGGAATAAAAGATCCAAAAGCGTTTACACAGGCCACAACCGTGGCCGTTTTTCCACGTTCAGCAGAAATAGCTCTCCCAACTTGCTTTTTTCCCTTTTGCGCTATTATTTTTTTTGGATTCTGAACTACAGTTACCCCAGTCTCATCAAGATTAAAAATACGATCTGGTTTGAACTGATATTTTAGTTGAACCTCTTGTAGTAAGTCGAAAAATCGTGCTTGTTGCTTCTGGGGTTCGAATTGACAAACCCCCAAGTCTTGACATGAATTTTTGTGCCCACTGTTTTCCAGCAATCCGCTTTTCTTTATTAAACTGATGATCGATATGATTCGCTTCGGCAAATTCAAATGCTAGACGTCGCAGCTCTGTAGGGGAAATTCCATAAAACAATTTTTCTAGAGACAATACATGGCTTTTTAATTCTTCTTCCTGTTCAGTATTAAATGTAGGTTTATATCTACCAATATTAACCACGACAAACTGATTCTTCTTAACTCGCTTCTGAAGAGTCGTTACCGCAATGCCATATTTTTCAGCAGCTTTTCGCAAACCAAGAGTTTTTGACTGAACTTCGTCTATTGCTTTGCTCATATCTTCCTCGGAATAGGAAGCCCTGCTGCTTTTCCAAACGTAATTGCAAACCATCCTGAAAAAAAAATAATAGAATAATTGGGGGCAAGAGTAAACAGCTGTTTACTCTAGGTTAGGTTCTACAGATCGGTTATAGAATACAAAAAAAAACAAAAATAACTACCAGACAGAAATTAAAGGTATGAACTAACAACTAATCCTTACATCGATGTATCATTAAAACAAAAACTCACCTTTTTTTTGCTTATTTTTTTTTTCAAAATTGGGTCATAGTTAAACAAACATGTCCACGGCACGCGGTTCGCATTACAATAACCATTGGCGGCGAAAATTTCAATAATTAAAAATATTATTGAGCCGTTTACTCTTGCCCACCTGTTCACTCTTGCCCCCCTCTCCCCTACGTAATTTTGAGTATTAATTTATATGGATTTAAAAAGACTTTATTCAATCCTTTAAATGATTTATAATCCAAACGGTCCCTTTTAAAATTATTTGCTTTCGAGCGGTCAGCCTATTTGGAGGAGAGCGGTCATCGGTAGACCCTTTGGATTATAAATTTAACCAAAATATAATTCAATTAATCATTTAGGAGGATTTACTTACGTTAATTATTACCTTTTGTTTCAGGAGTTATTATGGCAGGATCGAGTCCTGAACCTGATAAAGGGAATAATATAAAAAGAAAAGAAGTAAGCTAATTGTTCTAAATAAACTGTTTTTCAAAAAGGTGGTCTTTATAATATACAGGGTGTTTCAAAAAAAATGTGCCATCTTTCGTGGGGAGATTCCTCACGGAAAAATAAAATTTATTGTTCATAACAACATTCGTCCGATTCTGTTTTGTTTCGTAGCTACAATGTGTTAAGTATTTTTTTTAAAAAAAATTAAAGCTAAAAAAGTGTCGATAGATTAACCAGGGACGTGCATATGGGCTGTAATAATAATATAGTATAACTGGAATAGTATAATTGGAATATTTTTTCAACGCCACTGACTTTTTTCTCCTGTTAGCTAAATAGTGTGCTGCCATTCTTCACATCTGCAGTTATTTATTAGGGTACCTTTGGTCTCATATCTCTGGATATTCCTTGCGATTGTAGATTTTCCAGGTATCGGTCTATTCGGATACAGAGCAGCAAACATGTCCGACATATTTTGGTAACTATTTTCTTGATAATACCATTTAATCATCAATACTTTTTCTTCGGTAGTGTAATTCATGGCTAATATTTTCGATGTAGGTATGAGTTTTTGATAATAATAATAAAGCACTAAATAGGTAAATTTCTGAAATGACAACAATTTGACAGTTATCGTTTACCTTGACTGGTGCTCATAAGTAAATACAGGGCCATAAGAAAGGAGAAATATTTAAAAAGAAATCGGCGATAACTCGTAAACGAGCTAATCAAAAATATCTAAAGTTATTCTTTTGAATGTGGGTTTTAGTGCTCTTCAATAAACCTAAATAGAATTATTCTCTAAAATAATGAGGGAAGCCAATAATTGACCCCATTAAAATTTACATGGGATGTCCCGTCCGACGATGCAACACCCGGTATAATTTGTTAATTTTATTATTTGTGATCAATACAATTGCGTTTATCTCATCAAGGAGGCCGAATTCGACAAAATATTAAGAGACTTTTAATTGGCATTGAACGGCCTACACAATTTTGATATCAAAAGAAAAAAGTCAGCGGCGCACATGTTTTTTTTTGGAAAAATATTCCAGTGATAACTCATATGCACGTCCTTGATGAATTTATCGACACTTTTTTAGTATTAAAATATGTAGCACTTATAGTAACTTTTAGCCTCAAAATTTCATTCGAATCACTAAAACTACTCGGGAGAAAATTATAATAAATCCAAAAGATTATAAAGAACTTTAACACCCTGTAGCTACGAAACAAAGCAGAATCGGACCTATGTTGATATGAAAAATAAATCTTATTTTTAAGTGAGGAATCTTGGCGCATGTTTTTTGAAGCACACTGTATTTCTTTACTTTACGTATTTCATATCTATTGTTCTTTTTTACGTTGGTAATATAAACTTTCTTCGACAATATATACAACAAATTTGCGAAAAAAGTTTTACCTCTCACCACCCAAGGACGACGATAAACACGGTTCTTTTTTATTTTCCCCAGGAGCTCTTCTCCGAAATAAAAAATCGATTTTATTTTATACAGTAATGATACGTTATTTGAAATGGCACCACTGTTTCGGCAACAAAAAAGAAAAGAACATCAAAAGGAAAAAGCACTTACTTTTTTCTTGTTTTTCTTACAAGAATCGTTGTTGTATCTCTTGTGATGCGAACAAAAAGTAGATATTACCTAAGCATTTAAAATATTTTAACTGCTGTGCTACAATTTTTATTGCTATCGATATAAAAAATTAGTTAAGACTTCTTCCTTGTGTTTTATTCAATATCTCAATCATTATCTCAATCATTATTTCAATCATTATCTCAATCATTGTCTCAATCATTATCTCAAACATTATCTCAATCATTATCTCAATCATTATCTCAATCATTATCTCAATCATTATCTCAATCATTACCTCAATCATTATCTCAATCAATATCTCAATTCATCATCATCATAATCCAGTATAAAACATAAAAATGAAAGGGTATAGCCGGATTAATATGGTAAATCTGCCCCCTCGGTTTTTTTGACTCGCACTCCGGGGATCGATTTGGTGTCGAATCAAAATAATTCACCTAAATTTTTAGTTCTTTAACTCAAACGGTTTTCGAGATTTTCAAAAAAACCTGTTTTTTCAATTTTATTTTTATTTTTATAGTAAAATTCAAAATTAATTCATGATGATTTTTTTAGAACTCTAAGACATAAAAAAATAATATAATCATGATTCTTAAACGAAAAGCAGATTTTTAGCGCAGGAAAGAAAATTAAAATCTTCATTTTTTTAACCTTTGTGAAATATTTCACTCACTAAAAATCATCAGAAAATATCTTTTATACTCCTTTACACTCAAGAATTTTTTGAAGTGGTGGAACAATATGAAAAAAATTAAAAACTCATTTTTTTCTAAAATTTTCTGTTTTAACTAACTTATATTTTCGTTTAGTTTAAAAAAGTGACTAGAAAATATGTTTCATTAAAAATACATCTTTGTCGGAAATAAATATAAAGATTATTATAAAAAAAAATGAGTCCGAGAAGATTTTAGAAAAAAAAATTAGATTTTAATTTTTTTCATATTGTTCCACCACTTCAGAAGATTCTAAAAGGTTCCTGAGTGTAAATGAGTATAAAAGACATTTTCTGACGATTTTTAGTGAGTGACATATTTCACGAAGGTTATGGAAATATTATCACGGTATATAAATCATTGCTTTATGTGCCGTGATATTATCATATTATCATGTATCGAGTTAAAAAAGCCGCGGGGGCAGATTTCCCATATTAATCCGGCTATACCCTTTGTCTCAATAACGAATCAGAAATGTCAACAAGAACAAGACTAAGATAGTAACCTCTAAGGCTTAGATATAATAATGAAAAATATATTTATAATATATTAATAACTAAATTGGATTTATCAATATTTCATTTTTGATTAAATATTCTTTTCCTGCATTATATTGACATTCAAAGGAAAACAAACTCAAAATAGAACCAATTTTATCTGTAAATTGCAATTTAATTTATATTGCAGAATTTGTTTTCAAAATTGAAATTGTAAAGAAAGACAGGTAAAGTTAAGACGATGTCAGTTCGTATCATATTTTCATTCATAACAAAAGTACGTAACGGCGTAAGTTTGCAGAATATGGCACAGTCAAGATGAAAGCTATTTCGCTTGCCAGTTTGGAAAGGGCTTAAGATCCATTCTGAAGACGAACTAGGTTAGAGCTTTCTGATAGAATCGAATATAGAAGAATTACAGTTTGTTGAATGGTAAAATATAAAAAAGAAAAATAATAATAAGAAAAGAACGTGAAATTTTCATGTTACCGATAACAACTGATGTCATATAAAGTATCCAGCAGACGTAAAATAGTATTTCAGTTCGAAACTTAATGTACCTTTCTTATGTTGTATTTTTATTTATTTTGCCTAAGAGTGTAATGAAAAAAACGCTTCTGTCAATTGTAAAAAACGGAAGATTCAGAAAATCAGTGACTTTCTGAAGAGGAAAAGATACGATGTACTCGACTATACATATCATCGGGTCACACCTCTCATATCCCTCTCATAAGCTCTCAGGAGAACGTCAATTTAGAGTATTTTCAAAAATTTGATATATCGGGTGCGTCTCTTAATTAACGAATTATCATCGTAACCTAACTTAACCCAACCCAACCCAACAGCTATTTTAGAAACCTCTAGATTTACTTATTTCACGAGATTTATGAAAAAAAAAGTCCTTTGCCTCGGGTACAGATACCGGCACGTTTTGGAAATAGCTGAAAATGAAACAAAATTGAACGAGGCAACAGAAAACGCCAAAAAAATCCCCCGCGTCCCCCTCAGAAGTAGTTTTCAGACGCTTTTAAGAATCGAAAGTAGGTCGAGGCAAACCGAACTTGGTCAAGACAACTGGAAATAAACCGAAATTCGAGAAACCTGGGCGACGAAAGGCGACCTTGACCTGCTTCGAAGAGTTCTTCGCATAGTGTAGGGGCTGTTTTAGAATAATTCTGTTAGAATATCTTTAGACGGTGTCCATAACACAAGATTGAAAAAAGGCTCTCACATTACTTCACTTCATTGTTAAGAGTCTATTACGCTGTACTGTTCGGGTCACTCTCAGGGATCGGGTAAAGCGGGTGTGTGGCCGAGGGAAATATATATTATACATCAGAAATCTGCCTAAGGCTTAGACCGATCCTGTCGTGTTAAGCCACGCCCAAAATTCCAAACACATGCAGAGCTTCAGCATTTGCCATAAAACAGCGAGCAATTTGTTACAAAACCATATAAATTATATATCACTGTAATCGTAAAACTTCAATCTATTTCCGTATTGTAACGGAATTTTAAATTATGTCTTTATTTTCGAGAAAATTTAGTCCAAATATAAGGAATATTTTAATCATGTTTGACCATCAAAATCTTAAATAAAAAAGTTGTCTAAAAATGTGCTACAATACGGATATAGTATAATCCTTTATCTTTAATTTCCTTCTTCATTTGTGTAAAAATACCTAGCCACTTTTACATATAACGTTAAATGCTGAACGCTTATTTTGCTACTTTTTCGGACTGGTGAAATGGACTCTTAAGCGTTACCAAGTTAGAAGAGCTAGTGTTGAATAAAAGAAAACTGAATTTTAAAAGAAATAATTTAAATTATTAAAAATTATTATTTAAAAGTTCTTTAAAAAAAGGTTTTTATGTAAAGATTATAACACCAAATTAATATCGCAAGGAGTACTTTATGTAGTAGAAAATATCCTAGGTATTTAATTTTCGGCTTGAATAAAACCTTCAAGAAATTAAACTAAAGCACAATTAAATACCGGGTAAAAAAGAGCTTTTTAAACGCTTCGGTGTTTCACTTTTTAATTACTTCTTTTGAATTATTAAGCTCCGTTCGTAATTCAGAACATTTGACGGCGAAACTTAAGATCCTGCATTTGCATTCTCGTTTTAGCTGAAGGTGAATTTCCAGCATTCGCATTTATTCTAATTAATTCTGAAGAAATAAATGCCGGAATGAAATGGCGCATATTAATAACAAAATCAGAATTTAACATAATTTTTCTAATAAATGGATGGAAAATTAATTATTTTTTTATGCTTTTATTTTTATTTATGTATGCTTTTGATCAAGGAAGGCCTTTGCATCAAGCTGATCAAAATTATGTCTGAGATATGCTCTTGAAATAATATTACTTGATTTTAGGTTTCATCATCATCATCATCATCATCATTATTTTCAGCTTATTCAACAATTTTCAATTATGGTGTTAGTGATGGATTGTTATTTAACTATCTGTTATTTTATAACAATTATTTATAAATAACATAACGCAATCGTTAC